GTTTGTTAAAAAGTTATTGAAAAAAAAATTTTATAAACGGAACGTAATTTTTGCACACAGTGTATATGGAAATATGGTAAACAGTACACGTAAATGCGCGGGGTTCCGCTCCAAAAAACTTACTCTACCCCAATCTATATATTGAAATATAATAAACTGTACACATCTACACATCCCAATCTTTACATTTTTATACATAATTTGTTAATAGAAAACAACACAAAAGTAATTATTTAGTTTAGGCCCCTCACGATGAAAGTAGGCTCAATCGACGCGTTTTTGCACGAGAAACAACTTTTCTATCTGACAAAATCGTCGTTTTCTACTGCGAAGCGAGATATTAGCTGACAAAGTTGACGGCGTGTTAGATTATAAAATGATACACCAACGATATGCAGCAACATGTACACAAACAGTTCAAAAAGAATTCTTTTTCAGGTCTTCTTAGAAACGAGATATTGATAAAAAAGATGCCTATTCCTAGCTTATGACTGGGGGGCTAGGCCCCCCAGACCCCCCGCACCGCGGCGGGGGGAGGGGGCAGTCTTTTGTGAGAAATTCTCACTCTTTAGAAAATATATATATTTTTATAACATTCTTAAGATATACATTTTATATGTACAGTGTAAACAAACTATACCGTATTTACAAAATTTCTTTTGTTTATAATTTTGAACTTAAGTACAACAGACTTGATCCTCCCCCGCCGCGATGTGGGGGATCTGGGTGGCGCAGCTCCCCCAGTCACACAACTAGGGTCAGGTACCTTTTTTATTGATATCTCGGAAAATATAAGTGACCGCCACGGAGCACGAGGCCGCGAGACATGTATGTATATACCATTATATATCATTGGTGTGATTTCATAACCTAACGCGCCGTTAACTTTGTCGGCTAATATCTCACTTCGCAGTAAAGAGCGACGATTTTGTCAGATAAAAAAGAACAACAATGGTATACACGGTAGACACGGTCGTATCAAAAGATAAATATTGGCATTCCTATAACAAGTACAAAAAATTTATATTCCTCATATACACGATGTACAATTTCAACACAGTCAGTCAAAAAAGTCTCCGTACACTGCACTAAAATTTACTTAACGTTGTATATTTCTCAAGGAAAAGATCAGAAATAAATCATTTTTATTATATTCAGAAACACAACATTTATTATTAATGAAAAAAGAAAAAAAACATCCATTTGTTAACAAGAAAAATCAATTTGTTAACAAAAAGGCAAACATAAGAAGAATGTGGTCAAAAAAGTCTCCGTACATATAAGTTTATTAACTATAACTTTTAAATTAATGGTTAGTCGGTCCTCCCTTTAGTTTAATAATTTCTTACAATCTTTTAGGCATTGTACCAACTAATTTTTTCGTTAAATCTGGTTGAATATTGTTCCATTCAAGTAATATTTTAGATCTTAAATCTTCTTTGTTTTTAATATTGTGTTTTTTCAAACTTCTTTTTATTTCACTCCATAAATGTCAAATGTTGAAATCAGGCGATTGGGAAGGGGGGGGGGGAGTGTATGGAGCTGTCTAATAGTCATTCTTTCACTTTCCTTGCCGTATGTTTAGAATCGTTATCTTGCTGAAAGATAAACGACTCTTCTAAATTTAATTTTGCTGCACTACGGACCAAATTCTCTTTCAAAATTTTAAGGTAAACATGTTGCTCCATAATACCAATAAATATTCAATATTAATTATCAATCAATATTAAAGATCCAACACCCACAGCACTCATACATCCCCAAACCATCACACCGCCGCCTCCATATTTAAATGTTGGATACAAGTGTTCTATTTGTGTGTTTGGTTTCCTCCAAATTTTATTGTCTCCGTCTGTGAATTGAAAATGGTAAATTTACATTCATTGCTGAATATAACATTATTCGAAAAGTTTTCATCCTTGTTAATATGTAAATTTGCAAATTCTAGTCGTTTTCGTTTATTAATTGAACTTATGAAAGATTTTCACCTAGCTGTATGGCCATTATACTCTGCTTTTCTGATTAAATGTCGTATTGTTTCAGACACTACTTTTACATTGTAATCAGTTTCCATTATTGCTGTCAATTTTGGAGTACTTATTCGCGAATCAGATCTAATTGTTCTCAAAATGGCACGCTTACGATGCGACTCTAATTTCTGAGATCGTCCAGTTTGTTGTCGATCTTGATTTGATTTAGTTTCATCGTACCTCTGACAAATGTACTGTACAGTGGAATATGACTTCTTTACAATTTGTGCAATTTTTCTAAATGACGCACCTTCTTTTCTTAATTGCACAATTAAATCTCAAATTGTAATTGGAATTTCCATTTTAAAGAAAATATTCACAATACGAACCGTTCTGTCTGCTAGTGTTCAAGAAACTAACTTGTTACTAACGTCGAAGTGCTGTCCTAATCTTGTTTGTAAAAATTCTGCAGGATTCTTATAACTAAATTGACGAATTTCTCTCTGTACAGAGACTTTTTTTACCACATTTTTCTGATGTTTGTCTTTTTGTTTATTTTTCTTGTTAACAAATGGATGTGTTTTTTTCTTTTTTTCATTAATAATAAATGTTAAGTTTCTGAATATAATAATGTAAAAATTATTTACTTTTAACCTTTCCCTTGAGAAATATATAACATTAAATAAATTTTAGTGCGGTGTACGGAGACATTTTTACTGACTATATATACTGTGTATCAAAATTACGTTCCGTTTATAAAACTTTTTTTCGATAACTTTTTAACAAACAATGACCACCGATTAAAATCATTTGAAGGTTACTCAGGATGATGTCCTTGACAACATATCTCAAAGTAATTGGAGCGGAGTCCCTTATACGGAATAATTACTGCTTGATTAAACTAAATCTTGCTTTATACAAAACAAGAGATTAAAAGAAATCACCAAAATTTGTCTAAAATAATTGAAGCAGTTAGTTTACCATGCACAAGTCCAGAATTGATTTTGATTAACTGGATTCGAGTTGTTCCAATTAATCTTTGTTTATCTTCTTTTTTCTTATGCATCTACATACTCGTTTGCAGAAATGTTTCAACATGTTTTTTATTGAACGCGCTTTGGAATGCGATTTTCATATTAACTTGCAAATTTTGCAGCACAAATAAAATAAAAATCAAATCAAATCGATGATCTGATCCAGCCGAATTCCAACTGCAAAATTTTTTTGAAAACAGCTGAACCGACTATTAGTTAGAATTGAATTCACCGTTCTACAAACGAGTATACTATCCTAAAATTGTTTGGGCTTACCCCAAACTTGCGCATAACGAAAAAAGAAAAAGCAACGACACATACTAATTATCTTGTCGTCGTCAATGCAAATATTTCAAAAATATAAAAACCTGACATGGTTAATTTGCAATGACGAAAACAGCGGCTTCTATGCAATTACCTATTCCACGGCTCATCCGGTTCATCCTGTTTTTCTTCGATAGCTGTGACGCACGGCCGGCAAACATTTATCTTCAACGAGTTTCAACGCGTTGAAGATTTCCATCTCGAATAGTTCTTTGAATTCATTCCTCGCACATGGAATCTGCATAGTTTGTATTGCGTCACCAAATGACATCTTTTTCTCATTTTTTTTTAAATTGGTCTGCACTTTGAGAAAGATAAAGAGAGAGAGAGAGAGAAGGAGAGAGGGAGAGAGAGAAAGAGAGAGAAATATCTCACTTACGTCTAACGCATATTTCGTTTAGAATTCCCCGTACACGCTATGATATTTACAGCGATTGCGTAATATGCACGCGCGCTGCACAAAAGAACGTATTTTTATGAACGTTTGTCTAATGGGCAGTTTCCACCTTCGCGTTCGAGATAACGCCAAACGTTATACATCGAACGAAAACCAAAGTCAACTTGCTACAAGAATACACAGAATATTATAGTTTCCTTTCATATAAATCCTTTTCAATTTTACTATGTTTTCTATTAATTTTATTTATTAATTATTAATTTCATTAATAATTTTTTATTAATTTTATTAATTTTTTAATAATATTATTAATTTTATTACTATTATCCAAGAAAATAGTATTGTCAATAAGGTCTATTTTGCTAAGTAATATAGTAAGTTTCGCTAGAAACATAGAAAATTTCGACAGAAATGTAGCGAGTGTTTCAACAATACATTTTAGTTCTTAAAATATATAAGTAGCACAAAAAATATTAAAGGGCCAATAAAAACCAAACACAAGATATTAGCGTATAAGAAAATTAATGATTTTTACTAGAAGAAAAATCAATTAAAACAAACGTTTCATTCTAATGTTTAGATCTTCTTCATTTTGCGTTTTCCTACTAAGCGAAATTCTGTTGTATAATATTGAAGAAGATATAAGTGTTAACTGATTTTTTCTAGTAAAAATCATTTATTTTCTTACACATTACATTAATACTATGGTTGTGGCTTTTATTAGCTTTTTAATATTTTTTTATTTTTAATCTCAGAGTTTTTTGACTTTATTATAAGTAGCACATATAAAATAAAAGATTAGTGAATGTCAATCTGCTCCTCGAGGTCTTATGGTAATTTTATTTATAAAATAAGATAAATAAGATAATTTTATTACAAGATAATTAAAGTAAGATAATTTTATTTATCGAATTATAAAATTCTGTACGCGTGTACACAAGTCGACCGACGCAAAAGTTTCACGAAGATAACAAAGAAATCGTTCGAAAATCGAATTGGAAATTCAACGTTCTCCGAGAGAACGTTGTTATCCGGCGAATTCTTTCGATAATAAGGACATTTCGAGTGATATTCGCAACTTTGCGTTTAATTATGTCGTAAACGTATTACGTATCACGAATCGCAAAAGCCAACAATATAAATAAATCGTAAAAAAGTGACAGACTAAAAAGTGAAGCAAGATATTTTTTGCAATGTAAAAACGGCAACGCTTTAAAATTGATATTGAAAACATTCAAACTAATCTCCAGTATATTTCTGATGAGCACGTTACATAAGACAGATTGAGGAGAAACTCGGATAAGGATCAATGTGTATATAACCGAACAAAACACTTTTACTAAAGCTACCGAAAACAAGATCGAGCGAATCGTTATCGATGCGAAGCCTCGTCTCATCTGTATCGTAAGTATATTTATTATCTTAATACGACACATATTTCCGAAACAATTAGTCGAAGTTGAACCTAATATGTTGCATGTATAATACAGATGTTTCAATTACTGAAAATTTCATTTAAATTCATAATACGAGTAATTCTATTTCTGAGAAGAGGAAGGTTCAGTAAATCAAACGATAAAAATACGACCGATGCTAGGCCAGCTTTATAATCGCTTCATTAAACTACATTTTGAGTTTATTTTGAAGAAATAAGATATTAAAGGAACACTAAATTTTGCTAAAAGAAAAACAGCGATTATTTCGCTGTATGTAATTCTTGAAATTGCGTTAGTTTATATACATGCAAAAAAATATTATGTAATAACAGCTAGAAACTTTCTGTTACACGTTCAGTTGCAGATGCAGTTGCAATAACAGAAAAGTCTATTCCAATAACGAATAATTATTCACATCAACAATTGCTTTTGATTGAAGGAACTAAAATTTTTCGTTCCAAAAAAATGGTTATTGCAGATGATTATTCTATTATTCTCACAGAGGGTATCGGATTGAATAGTACATAGCAACAAGAAACAACATCAAGGTTACCGCAACCGAAACGATTCGGTTGAAAGAATAGTTGAATGTTGCTGCTATGGATAGTGATCCGTATTGTTAAATAAGCCATATTTTCGCAAAACTTTTCTTTCGTTCAAGGAAACTATATCATTTGATGAAACACTATTGTTTTAAATAGTATTTTTTAAAAGTTTCTTTCAAAATTTAGTAATTCGATTTGTTTAATTTGGATTTTCTTGGATTTTTATTTTTTTTTTTTTGTTTGGATTAATCATTATAACATTCTGTTAAAAATATAAAAGTAATTATCACTGATTCACTACATTATATTAATATTCATCGCATATCGAATGTTGTTGCATTGTTCCAATATCTATCAGCAAATTATCCAACAAATTACCCAGCAATTATCCAACAAACACCAAGTAAAAATTATATAACTATTATTTGGTGTTTGCTAGGTATGTTATAATACAGAGTTCGGAATTAGTTGCCCATTTCGGCCGATTCTCGGAAGCTACGCCTTCTATCTTCCCCTTACCGCGAGCGGGCCACGAAAATGAGGGTCGCGGCTTCAAGCTTGGAGGCTCGACCCGTCGACACTTTCGTGGCCCGCTCGCAGCAAGGGAAAGATAGAAGGTGTAGTTCCTGAGAATCGGCCGAAATGGGCAACTAATTCCGAGCTCTGTTATAATATACTGTAACATTATAAGGATATATTATATAAGCATAAGTCGTAAGAATATCGTTGGAGTCATCGGGAATCGCCGCGTGCCGCTCGATCGTCAGGTTAAGCAACATCTTAACGAAGTCTGACATGGATGTGGCCCGGTGAGTATACCGCGTGGGATCGAAATTATCACGGGATGATTCACGAAAGTTTGGAGTGTGTTTTTGACAACCTTCAATACGTAGTGGCTTTATAAGACATGAGAAAATTATGAATATATAAGTATGTTTTGTTAAATATTAATCTATTCCTAATATAGCTGAAACATCCATCAATATGAACTGAAGTATAGGTTAGGACAAACGAAACTTATATCTTTCACAACATTTCAATTCGATTGGGATGATCGAATATATGTTTGGCACAACAGAAACTTTTCAACAGAATTTCTTTTTTGTAGCAACCGATTTTTCAGTTGATTCCTGAAGAACCGAAAATTTCGGTTGTCGTAACTGAAATTCAATAATGCTAACTGAATCATTTTTTGCGTGTAGAAAGCGATTGTATGGCTCTTAGATTGAAATCAAATTACATATTGAAGAATAACAGAAGTATTATCTAGTCTATCTAGTCTTATGTGTTATATAAAGGATAATAGGGGTCTAGTTGTATTTTTTCAATCTTACTCTCTAAATTTCTTGCAGTGAAGTTTCACTCAAAAGAAGTAAATATTCACTCCAAGCAATAGTGAAAATGCTGCTTACTCTGAATGGAGTGACATTTCACTTTTCATAAAAGTGAATATTTCATTCCAAATAAAGTGAATATTTCACTCCAAGTAAAGTAAATTTTTACGATACTATAATGATATATGAACTGTTTCCGAATCATTCACTGTTCTACGACTGAAAATTCACTCCACATGAGTGAAGTCACTTTAACTCGAGTGAGGGCCGTCATCCCATTTGTCGAGCGAAAATTCGCTCCACGAGTGAAAGTTTTCATTCCACGATACAGAGTGAGAAGTCACTCTAATTTGAGTGACTCGGTTGTTACTCTATTTTTTGAGCGAGATTTTCACTCCAAGAAATTTAGAGAGTATATATATATATATATATATATATATATATATATATATATATATATATATATATATATATACATGCTTACAAAACTATTTAAAACACAATGAAATTGGGAATTCATTAAACTGTTAAAATTAAGAGTCATTACTGACGAACTTCGTGTTTGCGTAGTAATTATACTATTTATTATTATTATTAATTATACTATTACTGCGTAAGAGACATTCAACTTTGAGAATTTTCAAATATTATAGGCGGGATTCTAATACAATAATAGATAATTTTTAAATCGCAAGATGTACGCGTCAAACATACAGCACATATAAATGTACCATATAAATATAAAGTAATTGCATAATATGACTAATTCTATCTCTGATGAGAGTAAATAAATCAGACAATAAATATACGACGATAATAACAGAGATTAAAAGAGAATGACTAATAAAAAATATTAAATATAACCAATAAAAAAGATTAAGTGAACATCAAAGTTTTACCGAAAGAACTAATTCATCACACAACTATAAGATTGAGTGCGTTAAATTCAACTACAGTTATCTTACTTCATTTATGAGGTATCATTTATTCTGATGATTATTATATATAATATACAGTATAAAAAGTACCGGGAAATTGTCATTTAAATGAACCGCGGAAGAGGTAGCGGTAAAAAGTTTTTTTTTTTAGATTGGCACTACCTTCCTTCATTACCAACCGGAGCTTGAGCTCGATCAGTCAACTAGTTTGTTTATGGCAGCTGTCCAAACAAGTCTACCTCAGTGTTGCTCTGCGAATTTTACCATGGAAAAAATAGTCGAACAAAGAGTGTGCCTCAAATTTTGTGTTGCAAACGAAATTTCGTGTGCCGACGCACTGA